GGGACGTGGCTTGGCGGCCACCGGGGGCCCAAACCTTCGCCGTCTCTGTCAACATCCCTTGGTTACGCATTACCCCTCAGGCGCTCCCAAGAATCACTCGAGCGTTTCCTGACAATTTTCCGTGTGGCAGATGTGCACAAATACTGCCTCCCTGAGCTCCCCCAGCATTGTGGCCGCCTGCAACATGCCCATTGCTGAGGTGCGCTGAGCAAGCCTAAGAGCCCCAAACCTCAACCCTTACCCCCAATCAAGGCTCACTTTGTAATCCTGGCTCTATGAAGCCAAAGGCTTCTTAACCTCTATTCAGAAAAGAAAAAAAAAATTTTTTTCCACTACTTCCTATAGGCGGGCCTTGAGCTCTCAGTGATCCTCCTGCCTCAGCTGATGATACGCCTGCCTCAGCCTCCCAAGTGCTAGGATGACAGGTGTGCGCCACCATACCCGGCTGTCAGAAAATATTCTCAAGTAAGCTGAAAATGGTTTGGGCACATGTTTGGTTCTGTCACAAAATGACATCTGTGGTATTGCATTTGGTTGCTACCAGCTCCACTGGGAAGAGAATTAAGAAATACTACATAATTGAATACTTAAACTGTTTCTTTTATAGTATAAGCCACAGAAAAGAGCCCTATTTACCTGTTACACATTAGGGTGCAGAAATCAGGACAGATAGTAAGGAGCCTAGCACCAACCTCTTATTCGTTTGTGCAAACATTTTCTTTAACGCCTCTATATTCTAGAAGGTTGTACGAGATCAATAAGGTTCTTGCCCTCAGAAGACTTCAGTATGTGAAGTGCATGAGAGAAATATAATACTATTTTGGAAGAACAGAAGAGAACAGCTTGGGAATGAACACAAAGCCTTTTTCCAAACAAAAAATGGAAGAAAAGGGAATAGTGACCACAGTCTCGAAGTTGGCACTGTGCAGCAAACACTGATGCAGAAAAGGAAGCCAGGGATGCCCGGAACCCAGGGCTCAGGCATGGGAGACGAAGGGTTTGGAGTTGCATGGGGGCCGCCAAGGCTCTCGGAATCCACATGCCAGGTGCACACCCAGGAAAACCTAATTGCACGGCACTTTCCACCTGGGGCTCTGCCTTGGAGAGTGCACCTTCCTGGACAGGACAGGGTGGCCACAGGCACCTTAGAGCAGGGCAAACAAAGCTCTCCTGACTTCAGACTGTGGCCTGGAGAGAAATGATTTAGGCTTGAATTGAATCTGACATAAATGAGCAAGCAAATCACAGGGTATAAACCAAGTAAAGGTTTTTTGTTTGTTTGTTTTGTTTTTCAACTTTATCTTAAGGGCCCAGGGAGGTATTCAGGCCTTTTAAACTGCCAAGAGGTCTGACTGCCCTTTCAGAATGATCACACTAGGATCACACAGGAATGGGCCGGGTGTGGAGAGAGAGGATGGAGAGAGAAAACCCCCTGAGGTGATGATTTGTTCCACACAAGAGACAGATCTTGAACAGAGGTAAGTAATAGCAGCTATAGATGAAAAGGAGGGGATATCACTGGAGACATTACACAGTGGCATCTGTGGGACTCACCGATGAGCTGATGGGAGGAGAAGGGAGGACACCCGGGAGACCAGGGCCGTGTGAAGGCGGAGGTAATGCGCAGTGGAGGCTGGGGGCAAATTTGAGGAATGAAGACCACTGGGTTCAGTTTGAGTTTATGACTATTCCGACACTGCCTCTGCTTTGTCCAGAACCGGTCTCGACCCAGTGGCTGCACACAGCCTTCTCAGTGGGCCTCCTCCTAGCCCAACTGCAGGCCTACTGCTCTCCACACCTTCGTGGTGCTTTTCTCTCGTGCTTGCCTCTCAGAATCACACTAACCCTACAGCCAGAGATTTCCTGTATTCAATGCAAAGAGTGGGTCATAGAAGATACTAAACCAGTGCCCTACATTGAAATTAAGAATTTCTGTTCCCAAAAGACCCCAGTAAGAATGTGAAAAGAGCCACGGCCTTGGAAGAGATGCTTAAAACCATATGTGACAAGGAACTCTGCATCCAGACTGTATAAAGAACTATCAATCAATTTTTATAGCCCAGTTTTTAATTCATGTATTTCTTTTGGTGCCAGGGATTGAGCTCAGGACCACAGGCAGGTGTTGTGCCACTGAGCTACAACTCTGGCCCAGAGCCCAGTTTTTAAAAGTGAGCAAAAGACTATCTGGCACCTCACTAAAGAGGGTGTTGGAATTGGCAATAAGCAAATCAAAAGATGCTCAGCAGGAGATAAATTTAAATACCATAATGAAATACTATTTTTATCCAGAATGGCTAAAAATTTTTAAACTGACAACAGGGAGAGCTGGGGATTTGACTCAGTGATTCCACCGCCTGCCTCAAAAGCACAAAGGGCCAGAGTCTGATCCAAGGTAAAACAAAAACCCAAAACCTGACAACAGGGGCCAGAGATGTAGCTCAGCAGCACAGTGCCTGCCTGGCAAACTCCAGGCCTTGAGTTCAGGTCCTGGTACCAAAATAAATAAATGAAGAAAAGAAAAGAAAAACAACAACAAACAACCTGTGTTGCTAAGAATGCAAGGCAACTGGACTCTTGAACACTACTGGTGAAGGCATAAATTGTACTTTGGAAAACTGGCACTATCTACTGGTAATGATCATATGCATATCCTACAGCTGTTCTAGAAATGTGTGCACGTCTATAAAAAGAAACATACGCGAAGGCCCATGTAAGAATGCAGCCTTAGCCAGGCACAGCAGGGATGGTTGTAATCCTAGCACTGTTAAAGCCTGAAGCAGGAGAATCACACGTTCAAGTCCAGCCTGGGCAACTTAGTGACTTAATGAGACCCTGTCTCAAATAAAAATGAAAAAAGATCTGTGGGTGTATCTCAGTGCAAAGGCCCTCAGCTCAATCCTCAGTACCACCAAAAACTACTACTACTATTGGTAATAATAATAATCATGCAGCCTTGTTAATAATAGCCAAAAAAAAAAAAAAAAAAAACCAACCCAAATGTCCACCAACAGTAGAACAGATAAAACTGTGGTATATACATATAGTGGGATGCTACTCAATAACTGAGACAAAAAAGGTACAACACGGATGAATCTCACAGAAACACTGACGAAATAGAAAGGTCAAACGTGCTGTACACACATATGATTACATTTAACTGAAATTCAAGTACAAACAAAACTGATCTCATCGCGGTAAAGTCAGAATAATGGTTATCTTGAGATGTGAGGATGCAGAACTGACTGGAAAGGGCACAATAAGCACCCGAAATGCTCCCTCTCTCTCGATGTAGAGGTGGCTGACAGGGGTGTAGACATACACATGAAATTGTTCCCTTCCTGCATGGATGTTGCACCTCATTAACAAAAACTTTTAAGCATAAAAATGTTTTAATGTAGAAAAAACTCCTTCAAGTTCAAATGCCACTTCCTTAATAACGTTTTGTATAACTCTCCATCAGCCAGGCATGGTGGTGCATGCCTATAGTCCCAGCATTCAGGAGGCTGATGCAGGAGGATCACCATGAATCAAGGCCAGCCTGGTCGTCACAGTGAGTTCAAGGGCACCCTGAACTACACAGTGAAACCCTGACTCAAGAAATAAATAAGTAAGTCTCCCTATCAGGGCCACTGTGGCATTCTGATGTCATTTCTTTTGTCATTTACCACACTCCATCTTGAATCTCAACGGAGTCTCATTTCCCTAAACAGATGATTATCTTCCTTATGACAGTAACTGTCTTTCACCCTCTACCCACTCAGTCGCTGACAAGTAAGCCTAAAACCTGTTTGTTGAAATATGTACATGAAAGAAAAATTGGGTGGGTGCCCAGGTAGGTGAAAATGGGGACAGGAAGAGGACATAAGAAGACTCCAAGGAAACCATGACTTACACCAATTCTACCTATTTCCTGAAATCACAATAAATGTCACCTTGAGTGACAAATTAAGAACAAGTCAAAACACCAAATCCTACATAGACTCAGGATAAACAAATGCCACACTTCCTCACTTGCAAGAGACCCACCTGACAAAGGTTTACCTAATCTTTGGGTGTTTCAACCCTGGATGGGAAAACTGTTCATCAAGGACAGAAACAATCACATTGTCATGCTGCTAAAAATACCACCTCCTAATGTGGTGCAGAGCCCAGACTGCGGGGCAGGCGGCTCAGGGCCGAATCCTAACTCTGCCCCAACTTGCTGTGATCTGACGCCAATCTCTTTCCCCTCTGGGTCTCAATTTCCTCAAACGTAAAACGACGGGGATAGGATCAGCAAATTCTCTGAAGTCCCTTCCTGTATTGCTATTCTGAGTATACAATCAATAGATCACTCAATCCGAAGCACGAACACAGCAGAAAGCCCTGCAAAACACTAACAAGGTGCTCCAGACCAACAAATGAGCAGGATTCGAGGAAGTCATT